GCCCAGTGAGGAGGTCACCAGGTGGAGGACCCCCCTCGGGCCCTGAGCCCCCAAGGCCATGGGTCTCGTTTGCACAGGTGCTGCTATGACTTAAACATCGTCACGTGCGGGCACGTGCCCATCCTCAAGTCCAGCACATGTGAGGGCGTGGCCTGCGTGGCCTCGTCTGTCTCTCGACCTTTGACGGCCGGGCAGGTCTGCGCGAGGGGGTGCCTGAGCCGCAGCCACACCGAGTCTGCTCTTTCCCAGGCCTGCCCGTGTTGAAGCACGTGCTGACGCCGCGCGTGAAGGCCACACACATCGCCTTCGATTCCATGAAGAACTACTTAGATGCCGTCTACGACGTCACTGTGGCCTTCGAAGGGACCGTGGACGACAAGGGGCAGCGGAAAGAGGCGCCGTCCATGGTTGGTGAGTCTCTGTAGTCAGTCCCGTGTCCTGTGTTTCTCCAGGATTCCACATTCGTCTGTGACGGCGTGGATGCCAGGAGTCCCGCTCGGCCTGGTGTTTCTCAGTTGGTCCTGTAGACGAGCCCCTTGTCACAAACTCGGCCTCTTTCCACCCAAAGTCCCCACAGGGGGCGGGGCCGCTCATCTGCATTCATTTGCATACAGTGTTTCTGAAGTAGGGTCACTAACAAGAAAGCTAAGTGTGACCTTTCTTTCAACACTAGGTTCTCAGGTCGCTGAGCTGTGACTGTTGGGTGTGACAGAGAAAATAGAACGTTCCATGAGCGGATCTTTAGTTAAACCACCGAGACCCTCTGACTGTTGGGGAAGTTTGCATGGAGCAGGCGAGGAATGCGCGGCCGGGTCTCCTCCTCAGTGTCCACTGTGCTGACAGGAGCCGGGAGCTGGGGCGGGCCTGCGCCTCGCCTGGCCACCGTCTGGCGTGGCACCCATGTGCTCGCCCGAGCGCCTCTCGCAGGATCTCTTGTAAATGAAAAGAAAGCCCATGCTCACTGTATGTGCAAAAGGCACAGAGAAGAGCAGGAAGGCCTGGGGGGCTGCATGGGGAGAGGCGGGGGCGGCG